TGTACGTCCAAAAGAAAACGAGCAGCAGGGTTGAGAGAGGTGACCATTGGATTAAAGGAAATATTACTTTTGAAAGTACTTAAAATCGCTGTAAAAATATGCTTTGACGCTAATCTGTAAAATCGGTTCATTGAATTTCTAAGTAGTTTTCCAAAAAAAATTATCTTCAAATTAGTTTTAAAAAAAATTGCATAGCATATCAGCTGCAGACTGATACAGTTGTCTATTGATATCAGCTATAGGTCATGACATATTTTTTGGCACTAAGAATTTATTATTACGGTTTAATAAAGTTTGTATACTACATCTACTCGTGTTCAATTCCAAGGAATCTGTAGAATATAGTAACGGAATCTTTTGTTTTCCTCCCATTAAACAAAACGTTCTCTTACTTGAGTTTTCTGGTTCTTGGTATCATGTCAAAGTTGTCTTAATTTAATTTTTTTTTTTTCATAAAACATTGTACGGGCTCCTAATATATTAATTTAAATAGCAAAATAAACGAAACTTTTAATCTAGTTTTTCTACTAAAAATAATAAAATAAATTAAATTGATCAAAAACCTCGTCTACGGATAAAAGCGGTTCGCGGAAAATAGAAAATAAATTTAAACTAAAACTAAAAAGCACACTTAAAATTTTAATTTTGGTCTTTTTATTTTTTCGTGTATCTACTTCATGAATAAAACGTTTTAATCGACGGTTAAATCAGGCGATATCCCGTCCTTAATTGATTTTTTTTTTTACTGTCCATTTTCTATCATATTAAAAATGTTCAATTACCCTAGACATATTATGTTTGCATTAAATCTGCTCATTGCACAAACGAAACGTCATTCTATCTACTGAGTATGTATAAATAACCAACAACGTTAATAATTTATAATTTTTCATTGATTTTATTATCGGCTAAATCTTATTTATAGGCAGCGTTGGGCTAGCTGAACAACGTAACCCGTACAACAATTAGCTATAAAGGCCCACGACGAACACACTTATGAACTTATTGATTTGTATAATTGTATTTAGTATGATTTTATTTTCATAATTTTTATTTTTTATTTTCACGTTTATTTTCGAATACATTTTTAGACCTAAAATTAAATTTAAAACTATGTGTATAGAGGCAAACTAAAAATTCCACCCCTGCTCAATGATAGGTAGCTGTAAGAAAATTTCTGAGAATTTTAATCGGCATATTTATACTTATAACGTGTAATTTTATTGACATAATAAATTGGACTTCTTTTGGCCCATTACATAAAAGTTATTGTTTTAAATGGAATAATTGAAATACAACTATGCGCTGGCATAGTAGTTCAGACTGTCGATTATCATTAGCACCGCGTTAGGGTTAATATTAAAAATATGTTCATTATAATTTCACTTAATCACTATTCCGAGTCAGGTGTGTGTTGTTTACTATAATAATTATTAAGAGTTGTTCACACTCGGCGATTCGACAACCGAGTGCTAAGTGTTTTTGTGCGAATCGGTATTCAACGAGGGATTTCGAGTGGAATCTGAATAATATTATAATAATATGCCCAGATTGTGTATGATTGTCTCGAGGAGAATATTATTTTAAATTGATATATTATACTACACCAACGCTCTGACAGATTTCCAATGTAACGCTTCAAGTTGAAAATAATAACAATACGAGCGTGTCACCGGTGTTGCCGTTCGGTATTGTACTTGTGTGCTTGATAAAATGACATTTACTTGCCTATATATATAATGTATATTCTATATAAACCTACATTTATATAGACTTTGCTTCTTTTAACCGCGGAGAAACGGTACCAATTCTGGAAGTACATTATTATATATAAAGATAAATAACTTAAATATAACCGTTTCACGGCGGATGAATAAATTATTATTGTAATGTAGGCAGAGTGCAACTTGAATAATATCATGCGATTATCTTTCGGGTTTTTCATTGTTTTTTTTTTTTTTTGACAAATCAACGCTTATTTCTGTTTTTCTGTATTCGTTTCAATAAGTGAAAATACGTGTTCGCAAAATCAATATATATATATGGACTTGGTAATATACTTACATTTGCTTGATTGACATTAGAATATAGTGTAAATGAAATTAAGGAAAAGCATAAGACTCGAAAAACGGTAAACGCACCAAATGCGTAAGAAAGCATAAATGTAATCGACACGACCGAATAAGTTAGAGGAAAATTGTTGATATTTATAGATGAAGTGTGTAGATTATTTAGTTTCGGCGTTCAAAAACATAGGATAGATGTGCAATAATATAAGATAATTAACGAGGAATACGGTCTGGGGAAAGGTAGTAAAAATAAAAATAGTTTGCCAGTTTTCTTGGGAGGAAATCAACTGAGAGGTATAGAGAGAAAAATCAAATCTGAACAAAGTTTTTATTGACTCGGAAAAGATATAATATGATAAATGTAAAGTATTGCTAGATCGGAGTGCCCCAACAGATTGCGTTTATGTTAATGATAATAATATTTAATAATGACTAATTTATTGTTAATATATCATTACGCGATAGTAATTTATTAAAAACAAAATTGGCTTTGTTCAAAAACACAAAAGCTTGTGCCAGGAAGAAATAGTAAAGTCTACACTTTAGACTCTGCATTACTAAAATCTTATATTGAATAGTTATATAATTTGTTAAAATAACTAAACATCAGCTCTCCTAGTGAATGGTCAGTATTGAGCTCGTGTTTCTTTTCCACAGCAATAAGTAAACTTACAAGAGACATTTCTATAGAATTATTATTTAGTATAATTACTTATTAATTATTACGGTCGAGATTATTACTTTTTTATTTATGAAATTACAAAGTTTTCCCTTCTTGTTTTCATAAATTATTCATCGGTACAATATTATGGAAAAATATTGTTTAATGACACTTGTATACAAGACAGCCAGTATTCGATGCAGCTTTTGCGTGGCTTAGTTGGTGACCTGGTGTTCCTGCACAGAAAACTGCATTCGTTCAACGCAAAAATTAAAAAAGAAAAACTACAGAGAGAAACACAGTTCTCAAAGCGGCGTTACTACAATTTAAAAACGATATGGAACAATTAAATCACAAATTCTAGTTGGTGCAAGGAATGTGCAATATATGATAATAAAAAACATCCTCTAATTGATATGCGTTTATTTTTTCGTTTATGTTTTGCTTTAGTCTAAACTCATTCGAATGCCTCTCGGGCAAACGTTATAGTAGTTTCCGGTTCGGTAATTAGTAATTACAATTGCGATTATAATTGTTCTTTTTTACAAAACTTTTTTTATTTTATTTTTTTTAATCCCCAACGCTTTCCGCGTCGCTCCATCGGTACCTACCTACGGCAATTTGGTCGTAACCGTACTACCATTACCACGGTTACCGCGCACACCGATTGTAATAATTCTACAACACCTCGAGCAAAAATCGCATAATTAAATTTTCGGCACATTGTCCGCCCTGTCATGTCACCGCCTTCGTGCAAATGCAATTTCCGGCGGTTTTCTTTTTTCAAAATATTTAAGTGAGTTATATGTGTAGGTACGTTTGATTTTAACCGTCGATAACCGACAACAAAAGAGACATGGTTTTGTAACATCCACACTACAATGTTCAGAGTACGATTATCATTGAGACGACACCACGGTGTCATTGTATTGCATAATGGCGATACACTCAGAAATATTCAACCGTCAGTGTCGAATTTCAGTCAGGTACAATAAAAGTAATAAAGTAGCAAACGTTTTATTTTCATATTTTTACGTTTATTTTCCATAAAATTGTTAAAATTACTACTACTTCATTATTAAATATAATGTAATTCTCACTGCTATGAGTGTCACTGCTAAGTACTTTTTGTATTTAGTATGTCCATGCATGAGTATGTTTAAATTATTATTGACAAGTTATACTAATGTATTCTTTATATTAGTTTGGGTACACTTTCAATGAAATGCAAGTTTATAGGATAAATTTTACTTTTTTCTTTATAAACAAAGAGCTGTGGATAGACGTCGCGTTGAACTCAATATATTTGTTAAGGTAGTTTAGTAAAACTGTCACGGTACATATATCTTAAATATACCTATAAATAAACCGTACCAGAATCTCGAGTATTTTATTTAAAATTTACTGCACGTGTGCACCTCAAGGGCGTTAAAAATCAAAATCGATTGGCAGTCGTATAATAAAGTTTTCACATCATATCAGTTCTCCTAACACATTGACAGGTTGTCTTCGTCAATGCAGACAAAAGCCATTAAATATATTTTTTAGGCCAAAAAATATGCCATACCTTTCAATTTACAAACTATCTGATAGGTCAGTTATTCCTTATTTTTTAACGCACAATCAGCTAAATTCCTTATAATTATTACTTGTCGCTGTAGAAATAACTAACGTAGGCGGAGATCCTAACAAATTTATTATTAAGAGGGTGGATAATCATATCTGGTTCTTAAAGCTTAAAACAGGTAAACTTTGAGTAATTTTTCGCTAAATGAATTATTGAGACTATATTTTGAAATGTTAACAATAACTTAAAAGTTTACACTTTACATACATGTTGTGGAAGTGTTGAAAAATATTTTTCTTTTACCATGTATTAGTTATTCAAAATGTTTGTAGGCATACTATTTACTTAACATTTTGACGAATTTTAAGACTAGTCCGATCTATGGAAATTGTTTTAATTTACATTTGTTTTATAATATTTAATTTAAAACGGCTACGCATCAAAAATAAAATTGCGTTTTTCTTTTAAAACATAACCAAAAAAAAAAAAAAATTTATATTTTTTTTTTAATAACTCAGACTCTGTAACCGGTTTTTTTATAGCCTATTTAAATTTATTATAAAACATTATCAATTTTGCATTAAATAAAATTTGTTAATGATTAATTGAAAAAATAAAAATCAAGTTACATCCTTAACTTGACGTCTGTCTTAACAGTTGTTGCTACATAATATTTAACAGTTTTAATACTTTATGTTAACAGTGCTTTCGTTGAAGAAAGAAAAATAATTGTCATGGTCTTTTTATAAAGCGTTTAAAATTATGGAGGATGTGCTACCGGTCAAAACAAACGACAAGAATTGGTTCTTTGGACGCTTTATTGCCATACAATACTAGCCGCTGATAAGACCACGAAAAAGATCAAATTCATTTTGGAGCACAAAGTATACATTGTATTATAGGTAAGTGCGTGCCTCACAAATGTATGATAATAAAACGTCCAGTGGCAAAAATGGTTGCTGCTAGAAATGAATAAAAAAATCTATTACTAAGCTAATTTACAAAAATTTAACAGTTTTCTTCTTTATAATTAAATGAATTAACGTCTTTACAGCATAATGACCTCATAGACCACTACCAAAATGGTTTTGAAAACTACTCATAGTGGTCTAAATGGAACTAGCCTAAAACAATTTCCTTTATTTTTATGTTGTCAAAAATCCCAATCAAATTCATATTTTTTAACGTCACTCTACTGTTGACAAATTTAAAATTTAATTAGTAATTCTAACTACTAATCTATCGATTGAATCAATTTGCCAATCATCGATAAGACGACATATCCTTATAATTTATAATAAATGAATTGTGTATATAAGTATCAAAGGATATATTTCCTTTTTTTTCTTAAGTCGCATATTAATTTAGAAGGCTAATTTTTAACATGATATAGTATTTTAAAAATGTGTTTTCATTTTTGGTGAACTCGAAAATAGATTTTAACATTTCACGTTAATTTTTAGGACCGTGTTCAGCGACCGTACAGTAAAAAAACCATGCAGTGGCCTTTTCCAGAAAGATATGGCTACGAAGGATCGTTGACGGCTGCCAACGGGAGTAGATCCTCTAACAAATACATGGCGGCAGCAGCAACCCTTCAGCCCAAGCAGTGGTCTACGTCCTATACAAATCAGCATCACGTGAGCACCTATATATTTTATAATAGCGTTATACCAAAACGGTACCACGGTTCTCTTTTTTTTTTTTTTTTTTTTTTTTTATTATCTGAAAATATATTTACAATCCATACAGTGAGTACATTAAGCAAATTTGATAAAAGATATTATATACATGACAATGAAAAATTAATAGCAGTTATCTCTTACACAGCAATTTAATAATACAAACATTTCCTGTACATTTTTTGTTGATATTTGACAGAAATTAGAAAATACTACAAGTATAATATTTGTTTGAGGTTTTGAGTATAATAATGATTATATGATACCTACAAAATAACTTCATACCGCTACTGCAAATCTTATGACAGATAGATACCATCATCGCGATCGGTCGGCGTTCCGGTTAGGCAAATTAAGGCCACTGGTGTTCGCCGTTACATGTTACTGCGTTTCCTCTTGTCGGTGTTGTTGTGAACGCGTGCTTTTGCATCTCATACAAAATAATTATTGCGTTTTCCTTGTTTACGGGAGTAACTTTTTTTTTTACCGTAGTCTCCTCTAGCGAGCATTACCGGATTTCAACGGTTCTCGCCGGTTGAAAATGTATATACAGCAACTGTTTTCGAATATCTATCTGTATGGGCGTTATAAGACTATGAGACTATTTCAATAATTCATAAGAGTTACACGACGGTTTAAGTGATAAACCTTTTGCTAGTGCTAAAACGAATGAAAAAAAAGAAAATAGAAGACACGACAGAATTGAAATGGTAATCGCCTTTCTTTTCCATTATCTACCCTTAGGTATTTCTCTCCGAGACGGACTAATAATACTTATTTTATTTGCATAAGAGGTTTTTTTACAAACCTTCCACTTTATGTATCAACGGTATGATGATCTAGAAAGGATAAATGCATATTGTTACAAGTCTGGGTGCCGAAAGTTCTTCTACCTACTTAAATGTACCTAAGATTTAAGCATTTTTTTGTACTAAAAAATTGACAGTCAATATTGAAAAAAACATTTCATTACTTTTAATATTTCAAAATACTCAACTGCTATTAGAACGACACCTTTGAATTCTCATGAACGTTCATATATTATGTATTGCTTTTATTCAAGATCACGAGTGTAATACACACTGTGTATAATAACTATAGTTGTCTGTCAAAATGTTGAACTGATTTTAATCCGGTGGAAGTAACACTTCTGACGAGGTCTAGCATAAACTTGGGATAATGACATTAAAGCCATGTTTAAAAGTTAACGCGCGTAACTCGGTTAAAACAACAAAATATGTTGATAGCACAACGGCTTACTTACTGACATACTATTGTATAATTATATCGATAGGTACTCTATATTAGGAGAAATTAATTATAAACGAATTATTTATAGAATAGCGGTAATAAATAAAATCAAAATTATTAGCGACCATTTGATTTTTTTTTTTTTTGGATGGCAGGAAATTTATCAATAGCTGTTTAACTAGTATATCACTTTTTTGGAAACTCTAATAGATCTAATTTTTTTAGGCGATTATTACTTAGAGAAGTGTTTAGACATTTTTGAGTATGGTAATTTTTCTTTTTAATTTATGATTTCGATAAAGAAATCCGTTGCTGTGTTAAAATATCATTAATTTTACAAAAAAAAAAAAACACCAATATTTTAGATTAATTTGTGTAACCCGGGCGTAAAGGAGCGTAGCATTGGACTGCTGTTGCGAACGCCTAAACATATTATATTGTACCTCAGTGGTGTGTGTAAAGTGTATATATATAAATGCACTGTATTCACAGTGGCAATAGGCGATTTATTCACCGTGTCTCCGCAATCTGCCGGAGTCCCTATCCCATTGAAAAAGGACCGCGTGCGCTATTTAAACGATATTAGCACGAGTTACACGTGATAATAATTATTGCCAACGATCAGGCCCGGTGCTGTGTGCTTATATGTGTTTGTGTATGTATACTTAGGATCGCAAACCCCACACACACTGCACTGTTATAGTGCCGCCGTACTGTATGTGTATATATTATACGGATTTGTCCCTCGTTCGACCCAACGTTAATTGCAGCCCGCGTCGCCGAGCGAAGAGAACTCGAAAATAATTACATTAGATTTTTCAGGCTGGTGTTTTTTTTATATACAAATCGCTTCTTTTTTTTTTTTTTACAACATTATGTATTACACATATACACAATAATACAATCGTTACATATTATAATTATTAAAAAAACACCACGCCATCGTTAATGTGTTTCTACAAAATGTATGTATCTTATACTAGACGAGAAACCGTTCAAGTATTAATACCTCATACCCGGCCACATCACGGATAATTTCCGGGCATCTCCCCAAAAGAATTCAACCTGGGAAACAAATAACACTTAATGGTCACTAAATGTCTTAGAAATTCCAGAGGATTAAAGAAGGAAATCATAAAATATGTACTCCTAAGAATTTAACAGGGCTTGATATCGGTATCAAAATCAATTTTGATAATCGATTAAAAAACCGCAATTTTTGACAATATCTAAGCGAATTAAATCAATTGTCAAAATGTATAGTATTTTTTTTTTAAAGTCGTTCTACATGGCGTTTAAACCTCTAATTAGTTTAATCACTAATATTAGTGAAAATTTAAACATATAAACACTACACAATGCATAATATTTAAATAAAGGACATGTTAATTTTGGGTAGATAATAGAAAACTCAAGTATATATAGCATGTTAAACGATCAATAAACGTTTAACTCAATTTGTTCATGTCTATTATTAATAAATTATGGTAATAAATCATAATCGCTTACATAATACAATTTTTTTTCATTAATACACCAACTTATCCATAAAATTCTAACCGAAAGTAGTAGATCACATAGACTTTTGTCATTTTTGTCAAACATATTTATACTATAATTTGACACAAATTGACACTATCAAATATATTGTAAGACCTATCAATCCGGGTGAGAACTTCACGGCTGATCGCATTAGTTTTTAAAAAAAATCTCGGCATAATAAAATGTTTAAACAAAATATTTTCTATTTAATTGATTAAGAATATAGATATAAAAAAAATGAGCTAAACGTTTATTGAATGATTAACAAGTTATATGAATGAAGAGTGTTTGGATGTCAGTTGTCTACCCAAATTACATATGCCCTTTGTAGAATAACCAAAAACCCATTTCGGTGAATTAAATCATTACATTAATTATTGATGGACCCATTGGAAATCTAATGGAGTGAGTGGCAATAAATTGATAGCCGTCTCAAAGTGCATAACGTTTTGAATAAAACCTTAACATAACTGATCTATAATATCTGAAATGAATTTCAATCGTTTCGCCGAACTGGATTGTCGATAAACAAATGCAATAACTCAACTCACTGGCATTTTTTCAAGTATATATTATTGGATTTAAAAATTTAAATAAATAAATTAAATTAAAAAAGAAAAGCTTCGGTTAGTTTACTTTTAAAGAAAGAAAAAATACTGTTATATCCAGAACAAACAATAGGTAATAATTTGTTCAGTCAAACACCGACGAACACGGATTTTAAACGAATTATCATATTAAATAATAAAATAATAGTTTCAAGGCGGAGTCATGAATTCGAATCAAATTTGAATATGAATAATACAACATTTATACACATATACAACTGAACTATGTATTTTAGCATTATCAGAATATTACTGTTCGCGTTTGTATGGCAGATTCGTGTCTTCCCGTTATTAGGTTGTACACCTTCGTTGTAAGTAGAATTATATATTATGTAAATACCGACGAGAGACTAGTGTTTACCTGGGCGTTAACGTATGGATTCGCGTATCAATTCGCTAAGCCGACTCGTTCAAACGTTAACCTAATATTATGTTAATTTTTGAGTTGTATGCAAAGCTGTCTGCATGCTATACAGTAGGGCTATAATGTCTGTGCTAAGACAACTAGAAGTTTCAACATGACATCGTTCGTCTTGAACGAAACTGTTAATGATTTAACAAACTAAATATTTTGATATTCATCTTTAATCTCGGGTCGCTCGAAAAATTGTTTAAGAAACTGGTGATTTTCAAATATTTGTTCGATCCTTTGTAAACTTCAACGTGATTATTCAGATATTACATCTTAAAAAATCTGCTTTTAAGAATTTGTTATTACTACCGTATGTTCCTAAGAATTTACAGAAGGAATTGAGTATGCCGACGTATCCTATGTATTGTTTGGCGATCAAATGAAAATATGAGCGATTATTTGAAAAAATAATGACACTCATAATTTTAGGTGTAAAAACTATCCAAGTTTCAAACTATTCTAATTTATTTAGAATTGTCAAAAAAATGTTGAAAATTTTTAGGAAATAGTATAATACAGTATTATTAAATTTGGCCTTTTGTTGTTGCTATAATTTCACATAAGAGAGCATATTTTTACCCACGATACAAATAAATTACTAATCGAAGTTGCCAGACTTGTTCGTGTGCGGTGTGTTGTATGTATATACCAATAACATTGATGTTTCAATTATGTTGCCAGTCGATATAAACATTATCAATAAAAGCTGTTATTAAAATCGTATTTGAATGCCTTACAATATAATATAAACCTCACTGGATGTCCCGGGGAAATCGTTTCAACCGGCGGCAAAGCTTCATTTGGTAGGAGGGCACGCGATATTCGTGTTATGGTCGATGAAGAAAGCACGGGAAAGTATTCGGCTGCAAACCCGAAATGCCCCTTTTCTAAAATGTCCTGCATAATAACAGTATAATGATATTAAACGCGTTCCCCAGTAAACGTACATATTATACACAGATGGTGTAAGTGTACAGTACTAGCTGTTGTTATTCGCGTGTGAGTTTGCCGTTATTATTTTATTACAACTCGCCATAAGCGGTCACAATGTGTCCGTCGGGAAATGGTAATGACCACGGCGGATTTCTTTGAAGCGCAAATCGTCTTCAGCAATAGTCTTAAGGCCAACCGAAACGATATTATCA